CCTGCTGTGTTCATCCAGTTCTACACCTTGTTATCTCACATCTAAAATGAATGTGGTTTACATTGTATTGTTAGCAATTATTATTTCAAAACCACAAGACTTAAAATGTTACAGTATGGAAAGGTATTAAAATGAATTATTGTTGACTTAAATCAAAAAGTATTTGAAAACAAAAAAAAAAAAAGAAAGATTCACCAGTGACCCTTGTGCATGCATACATACCTTATAGTTCTGATCAGGCAGCATGTTTAGTAGAAAGGTTACCATTTTCTGTGGAAACTCATATTTGACAGTCCAAAACAATAGCTCTTCTAGAAAGCATTTATGTTTCAAAATATCCATAATGGATGAATCTGAAATGCAATATGAAAAGATGATTTCTATATCTGGCTGATCAAAGACTGCTGACCTAAATAAGACCAGAAGATAAAAAGGGCAGAATTCAGCCCATCAAGTCTGCTCTACCATTTGATCATGGCTGATATGTTCCACAATACCATTTTCCTGCCTTCTCCCTGTAACCCTTGAACCCTTTATCCTTCAAGAACCTCTCTCTATCTTAAATACACTCAATGACTTGGTTCCACAGCCTTCTGCAGCAAATGAGTTCCATAGAAGGCTGTCGAGGCCAAGTCACTGAGTCACTTCCACGCCAAATTCAGGCTAAAATTGGTTTGCAGATTACTAGTACGAGAGAGAGAGCGAGGGTGCAAGCGCGAGCACGAGTCAGGGGAAGGACACCCCCAATATAAAAAGAACAGTACAGTAATGAATGACAAAAATAAGGGAAGGAGAACTTACAGTACAAAAGGAAGCTAACTGGAAGTATACAATGGATAATAGCGTTTTTACTGGTATTTAAGAATTAAAAGCGCAAGTAAAGTGAACGCTGGACCTCTGGACAGTATTCTGGGGAATTAAATAACAGAAAATAATGGATGAATTAAACAGATATTTTGCATCTACCTTCATTGTGAATCAAGAGGCGAAAAAAGGAGGGAGGAATGTACAACAATTACAATCACCAGGAAATAGAAGTAAAAGCTGGCACATCCTCAAGATTCTGACTTCATCCCAGTGTCTCAAAAAAAAAAGAAGTGGCTGCTGATAGTAGATGCATTGACTCTAATTTTCCAAAACTCCCTAGATTCTGGGACGCTCCCATCAGATTGGAAAACAGTCAATGTGATTCCTCCAATGAAGGCAGAGAGACAAAAAAAAAAAGCATAAAACTACAGGTCACTTAGCTCAACATATGACCTACAGAAAATGCAGAAATCTATTATTAAAAGTAATTTATAGGTGGCCATTTGGAAGATCTCAATGCATTCAAGCCAAGTCAACTTGGTTTTGTGGAAGGAAAAAATGTTGTTTAATTAATTTACTGGAGTTGAGAAAGTAATAAACAATGAATAAAATGAAACTTCAATGGCACTACTTGCTGTACTTTGATATCCAGAAGGCATGTGACAAGTTACCACCTCAAAGGCTACCACACCGCATAGGAAATGCCTTATTAACATGTATCGAATGTGGGATCGCAAACTGTGAGTAGATATAAACGAGTCACTCTTGGGTCAGTGGGATGTGTAGAGTGGAGTGCCACAGAGTTCAATGCTTGGTCTTCAACAATTTACATCAATGACTTGAATGAAGGGGTCGAATGTATGGTTCCTAAATTTGCTGATGACACAAAGATTAGTCAGAAAGCACATTGCAAAGGGATATAAATAGGTTGAGTGAGTGGTACAAGATCTGACAGGTGGAATATAATGTGGGAAAATGTGACTCACCCACTTTGGAAGAAGCAATAGAAAAGCAGTAAATTATTTAAATGGAGAAAAACTGCAGAACTTTAAAAGTATAGAGTGATCTGGGTTTCCAGATACACGAACCACAAAGTTAGCATGCAAGTGATTAAGAACGGTTGTTGTTCACTACAGAGGGAATGGAGGTTACAGCTTTACAAATTATTGCGACCACAACAGGAGTTATGGGCTGATTATTTTAAGAAAGGATCTAAATGCGTTCCAGCAGTCTCTGAAGGCTTGTTGAACTGATACCTGCAGCGTGCATCTTTGGTTGAGAGGCTGGACAGGCTGGGCCTAAACTATGATGCTGCTTGGCCCACTGTGTTCATCCAGCTCCACACCTTGTTATCTCTAAACCCACTGAAGTTTGGAACATTGAAAGATGATCTTCTTGAATCATAAGGGGTTTTTTTTTTTTAAAAAAAAAAAAAAAATCAGGGAGCTGTTTACAGAATGCTTTTCATTATGGGACAGACCAGAAATAGAAGACACATTTTACAAATAAGATGTAGTACATTTAAGACAGAGAAGCGGAGAATTTCCTTTGTATAGGAGAATCAAGCTTCTTTGGAACTTTCTTCCCTAGGAAGTGGTGATGGCAAGGTCACTGAGTATTTTTCAAAGCAGAGGTAGACAAGATTCTTGACTAATAGGTGTCTCAAATAGTACCAGAGGTAGGTTGGAAAGTAAAGTTGAGGCCACAATCAGATCAGCCATGGTTTTAGTGAATGACTTGCTTCTCATCCTAATTCATATGTTATGCAATTTTCTACGAGTTAAAATGTAGTAAATGCGGCAATATAATCCACCTTCTGCCACCATTGATTGGTTTAAGCGATCCACTTTTCATCTTTTTCTCTGTAGAGTGAGTCCAAGTACCACAAACTGAAATGGAGAGATGGGGGGAACCCTCAACTATCAGAAGTTAGGCAGATGGTCAATATCCTTGTACAATGTTCTTATTCTACTGATGCAAAATAAACCCTAGTCCAGGCAGTTTCAGTGAAAAACTTGACACTCAATCTGTTAAAAGAAGTAGCTGCACTAAAAAAAAACTACCAACAGATCCAAATATAGTACAGACACTAACTGCTTCTTGAAACCATGGACACTTCTAAATAGCAAGGTACGACGGCCTTTAACACATCAAGTTCACTGGCAACTTAAGACCGGCAGATAAGTGCAAGGCAACAAACTAAGCTTAAACTTTTGCAATTTCAAATAACCCTTTCAGGGTTTTAACCAAACACTTCTGGTCTGCAACGTTTCAGCTAACCTCCTTAGATGGAGGTAACCTCTTTCTTAACAGTCCTAAAACTGTCTACCCTTCTCAGGAGCAACTGTTTTACACTCCAGCCTCAGCAAAGACTTCTGTAGAGCGCCCTAACTAAAACCACAATGTTTCTTTCCAAACGTTGGGTGTTTCTCCCCAGCCCAAACAAAAAATTCCAGAATTCTGTCTGAAAGCTATACATTAAACTGTTTACTTTGTTCACTCAAATCTCAATTAATTTCTAGGAAGTCTCTTTAATACGATGTTTTTTAAAAAAAAACACCATGACTACAGAAGTGCTTACAAACTAAACTTCTTCAGACACACACAAAACTCATGCCACTAGTTTAAAAATCAAAAATCCAAATAGTAAAATGATATTAAAATATACATACATCTCAAATCTTGCATCATAAAAGCCAATCCACTATCCACTAGAAACTAGCCAAATGTGTGATGGAATACCATCCAATTACCTGACTTTGCGCAACTCCAATGACATACAAAACATTTAATGCATCCTATACAAAGCAGCCAACTAGTGTGTCACACATTACACATCCATTTTCTCTACAATAGAGGAAGTATATGTGACCATTTAAAATATGTCCTGCAGCAACTGCCCAAGGTTCTTTTTCCCAGCACCTTCCAAATCCAAAACATCTACCACCTGTAAAAGGCAGGACAGCAGGCATGAGAGAACACAACCACCAGCAAGTTCCTTTCCAAGTCTCACACCAATCTGACTTGGACATTTAATCACGGTTCATTTTCAGTGGCTGCATCAAAATCCTGGAACCCTTCACTTAACAGCGCCGAGTATATCTGAACCACATGGAGTAAAGTAGTTCAAAGTGACAGCTCACCAACACCTCAGAGGGTAAGTAGGGATGGGCAATAATAGCTAGCTTGTAAACACACTTACATCCTGTGAATGAAATGAAACTTTAAATTTTCTTCTGACAACGTAAGGTACCATAATTGTCAACCTATTCTTTCCTTGGTCAGAGACAGTTTGTTCTGTTCTACTGTATTACCACACTATTAAATTTTCTTACTCCTAAAACACACCAACCCTAACTTTTTCAGCAAGTTTTAGCACTGGGAGTGGTCAATTACAAAAAAGCAATTCGTGCCAAAGCAAAGCAATCATTTCAATACCAAGAACAAAGCTGCTGGAAAAGCTCAGCAGGTCTGGCAGCATCTGTGAAGGAAAAAACCAGAGTTAACGTTTCAGGTCCAGTGACCCTTCCTCAGAAGGTCTGTGTTTTGATGAAGGGTCACCGGACCCGAAACGTTAACTCCTTCACAGATGCTGTCAGCCTTGCTGAGCTTTTCCAGCAACTTTGTTTTTGTTCCTGCTTTACAGCATCCTCCGTTCTTTCAATTTTAATTTCA